CAATTGCTCCCTGGGGTGAGCAATCTTGCAAGGTTTAGAGACCAGACCAGTGACTTTTCTTCAAACAGTGTTACATTTATTGGTGCAACACACAGGCTATATACATTGCTCAAAGAAAGTAAATACTTCAAAAACAAAATCCTAGCCGTGTCCCGGCACTAACTAAACATACGATAGTCCTGACTACCAACCTGTACAAACCTATTGTTTGCCAGGCTTCAGCAAAACACACTGACCAACCTTGTGCTCCAGCAGATAGACTGTCTGCTCCCCAGGCTCCAGAGCTCTGTCTGTTGGCCTCACCTGCACTAAATTGCCACTGAGGCAAAGCGTAAAACCTGGGGCCTACTATAGGTTCCGGAAGGTGTAAGAGAGGAATCTGGGCGACACATAAACCCCGGACAGGACCTCTCCTTGCTCTCTACATGATGACCTGCTACACCGGCTAAAGGATTTTTAGTTCTGTGCAGCCAGTGTTGTGATTCAAGCACTAGTGAGAGATAGCACAGCAGCAGCAACAGCATTGTTTGGTCAATGACTTACTCCCAGCCTGCAGATTGGGCAATGATGGTCACATGCTGATAACCCATTAATCAGTTCACTGTGCTTTCTCATCCTGTCACTATTTTCATGATCTGCACATGTTGTATATGTAGCAGAGTCTGATTGGCTCCTGGAGCTGGCTCTACCTCTCCAAATCTAACTACTGCAGTACAGGGGGTTACAAAAACCTGATATCAAGACAACTTTTGCTGCTTACACCAGTCACATTTAAAACTTAAGCAATCAGCTGAATACAACGATGAAATACATATATGAGAACTGTTTTACTAGCCAAAGGATTTGTATTTATGTCTATCCACGCCTAAGATTTACACAGCTATGCCACACAGCACAGCCCTGTCTGGGAGGGCAAGAAACATGATTTTTTTCTCATAATGTTAAATAACACTTACCCAGCTTGTGATTGGGCAGCGAAGGAGAAGCAGCAGACTGATGATCTTATTTAACTTTCCCTCGGCACTCTGCTCTATCAGCACACAACCTATTAGTACATGAATACTGAATACAGAATAACTGGCTCCTCGTGCTGCTCTTTCTTCTACTGCAAGAGATTGATACCAGGTCATATTTAGATCGTAACACTGCTTGCATTTAAAACATACTTTAAAAGGCATATAAATGAAAAAAGAACTGCATTCATTTTAGTGTTTTATATTTGCCTGAAGTGCATTTTTAAAGCATATATAAGTGGAAGAATACTGTTGTTTTTTTGGTGGCCTGATTATATATTATTCCCTGAATCCCAATAAATCACAGATCATTTAATAAGCAATCTTTAAAAAAACATCCATGCCACGGCTTGATCCATCCAAACCAGCTAAGACAATTACTTTGTGTGTAGCTCTACTTTGTACCACTAGAGGGAGCCCCAGACAAGTGACAAATACCATCATCAAGTTAGAGTCAGCCAATGGAATGTAAAAAAATGATCAGCAAAAACTAAGACTTGATCATAGCCATCACTTACATAAGACTTAATACAATGTAACTACAGTATCGCTTTTCCATTACTAATATGTCCCTAAAATAAAAAAAAATAAAAAAAACCTCAGCTCATTTCATACTTTAAAGCAGGGGTGTCAAACTCAATTTAATCGTGAGCCGCATCAACATTATGGTTGCCCTCAAAGGGCCTGTAAGACTATATAAATGTATCTAATCTTTATCATAATTGCCTCTGCATTCGATTATCACTGGTTTTAGTAATAACTTAATACCTAGATCTGAAAGTAGAAGTCTAGGAAATGGCCTGGTGGGCCGGATTCGGCCCCTGGGCCTTGAGTTTGACACATGTGCTTTAAAGGGTAATACCACTTTTCCAGGTCAGTTTGGGAAAATGGAAGTACCCCCTCCAATCTGGTTCCCTCTCCTATTGTCTCCCACCTCTCCTCCCCCCACCCCCGCTATACTTATGCCGGTGCTGGGACTGTGCTGGGCCCCCTAGAGGCCCGAGGCCCTGCCACTGCTTATATGGGCTGAAGGGGCAGCTGCTTTGGGCCCCACAACAATGATTGGGCCCTGGGCGACTGCCCCTTTTGCTACTATCCCTACCCCGTATTGCTGTGTAGCACAGCTCTGCACTATAGATTTTTTCCATTTTCCAAATTCACCTGGGAAAGTGAAATTATTCTTTTAAATAAAATGTACAACATTGACATATTTATTTTGCGATAATAAGCAGAAAACAATCATAGATGACAATAAAAAGTTAGAATTTGAATTAATTTAATCAGTAATTTCCTATAAAAACAACAGAAAGCTTTCCGTCCTGTCCATTCGTCTTGGCACACTTGAAGATAGTGGTCATTGAATGAAGGTTCTTTGTTGCATTCAACTTATGCAGTGTGATCACTTTCAATAAATTGAGCTTCAAGTGGTCACACGCATCTTTGCACTAATTCGAGCATTCATTATGGCGATATGGGTGAATAATTGGGCATGTGAGTTTTCAAAAGTTTTCTTTATTGTATGTGCTGATATTTCAGCTTATTGGAAAATAGAAGAAAATTCTGTTCCTTTCCTTTGTCTGTTTTGATCAGGGAGATACAGTCTGAAGACACACAGCTTCTACAATGCTCTGTTTTTGGAAACCCCACAATGCTCCATGACACCAATCTCATGGAGGCACCTAATGTTCATCTGTAGATTTTATACACATAACAAAAAGAGAAAAAAACAAAAACAAACAGCAGTTAAAACCTTAAAGGAGAACTATGGGGTTAGTGCTTTTCCCCATAGTTCTCCTTAGGGTAACGGGAGGACACAAAGTAGCGTCCTTCCGTCACGCTAACCTCAGTATACCGCAGCTGAAGCGGATCCCGACAATTATGGCAGAGCCAGCTGTACCCGCCCCCTCCCCGTCCGTTCGGCCAGTCACCGCTAGAGGATCGGAGCAGGGAGGGGGGAATCCAGCCCCTCCCCTGTCATGGCAGAGAGCCGTGAGAGGATCGAGAGGAGGTGAGCGAACCCCCGTATGTGTTCGCTCACTTCCCGATCTACTGAGCTGACCTGTGACAGTCTCATTGTCACAGGTCGGCTAGACCTATGAGGTGAGTGAAAAGCACTCACCTTATAGTTCTCCTTTAAAGTAAAATTTACCAAAAACAATTACAAAGTGGATACTAAAAACAAAATGTGATTAAGATTTAGTGTATTTTTCCACAGGTTCACATTAACAGATTAAAATCACCATATGCGAGTCAATGCACAGAAGGGGATGACATCAAGAATTTCTATAAGGATGTTTATGGTGCTGGGTATACACGGGAGGTGAGTTGAAGGCAAATGTCTAATCAATTAACAGAGCTAATCAATACCAAGGGATGAAGCTCGCATTAGCATCATGTTGGTTATGCACACACATATCTACACACTATATTACCAAAAGTATTGGGACACCCCTCCAAATCATTGGACTCAGGTGTTCCTTGAATATAACATTATTATTATTATATATTATTATTATTATAACAAAGTGAAGCAACGGGGAAAAACAGCAACTCAGCCACGAAGTAGTAGGCCACGTAAAATGACAGAGCGGGGTCAGCACATGCTGAAGTGCACAGTGCGCAGAAGTCACCAACTGTCTGCAGAGTCAATAGCTACAGACCTCCAAACTCCGTGTGGCCTTAAGATTAGATGTGTAGAGAGCTTCATGGAATGGGTTTCCATGGTTGAGCAGCTACACCCAAGCCTTACATCACCAAGTGCAATGCAAAGCGTCGGAAGCAGTGGTGTAAAGCACGCCGCCACTGGACTCTAGAGAATTGGAGACGTGTTCTCTGGAGTGATGAATCACGCTTCTTTGTCTGGCAATCCGATGGACGTGTCTGGGTTTGGCGGTTGCCAGGAGAATGGTACTTGCTTGACTGCATTGTGCCAAGTGTAAAGTTTGGTGGAGGGGGGATTATGGTGTGGAGTTGTTTTTCAGGGGTTGGGTTTGGCCCCTTAGTTCCAGGGAAGGGAACTCTTAAGGCATCAGCATACCAAGACATTTTGGACAATTTCATGCTCCCAACTTTGTGGGAACAGTTTGGGGATGGCCCCTGCTTGTTCAGCATTGCAGTCATCGGAAGCCCGCCCCTCACC